TATATATATATATATATATATATATATATATATATATATATATAACACTTTGGAGAATTTACGATGAGACGGCGAATTAAAAAGGGCAGAAGCCAAAAGAAAAAACGAGCCTCGTTAACATCCGCACGGCGTGGCAACATCCTGACTGCTGATACCTAAGGGTCATCGTTTTGTTGGACAGGTAAGGGGATTCATTTTTGTGTAAACTGCTCTCTAAATCTAGTATCAGTGTAATTGACATGAAACTATAATTCGGACCGACGTCTTTAGGTGGCAGTACAGCGCGAGCGGCGCTGAGCGTTTTGAGCGAGCGGAGCGGAATCTTCAGAAAGGCGCTCTGCGCTCTTGAGAAAATATTACCACTCCGCTCCCCGCTCCGCTCACGCTCCGCTCCGCTCACATGCTCTGGTTCAAGCACATGGACACCACCACGAAGTCGAATTGGAAACCGTTTCCGAGTTAAGACCAATTTGTTGAAATGAATAATCAGTGTAATTGACATGAAACTATAATTCGGACCGACGTCTTTAGGTGGCAGTACAGCGTCTGGTGCGTTCAAGCACATGGACACCACCACGAAGTCGAATTGGAAACCGTTTCCGAGTTAAGACCAATTTGTTGAAATGAATAAAAAAATGATTTACAATGATACTTAAGGCTGGAATACACTACACTACTTTTAAAATCTGAACAGATTTAAGAACATGGACATTATACACAACGTTATCGACTTTGAGGAAAACATACATTACCGTCACAGAGGAAAAATTGGCCTTCACACAGGACTGAGGACCATGCACAACAGATTTCAATGTTGTTCTGATCACAAATTAATGCAGAAACGTATTATGCACAAACTCATGCCTAGGAGACGCACGATATCCTCCGACTCGACAGAATCAGTCTGAAGCTGTAAATCAGTCTTTGATCATCATACTCTACACGATTCTGTGAAATCTGTCAACTCAAATCCGCAGACTGCATGGCTCTGACTTTAGGCAACTATCAAATTCTCCAGACTGTAAAACAGCGAAAAAAATCGGGTCAAAACGTAATGTAATGTATTCCAGCCTCCTCTGGATGGATGGAATCATAGTCTGAAGCTAAATAAAAAACTGTGTCTATGACCATCATACACTACGCGATTTTCTTTGTAAACGCACAATTAACAGCAATGCTAGTTACAGATCTACCCTGCGTCCCAATGTGCATACTATCCACCCTATCTGCCCTAAATAGTATTGAAAATTACTAATATCACAGAGCATTTAGGATGGATAGTGTGCACATTGGGACGCAGGCCTAGTGAATGAAGTTTGGGAAGACATCCAGTAATCAGTTCTAACAACTTTTTTTAACAGTCCAGAGTTCGAAATAAAATAATCTTTTATCTACTTGCTCTATGATACGAGGATCTGTGAGGTTTTGATTAATTGGAAAAACAATCATCTGACATCTACAGTGTTTTCTGAGTTTTATTTTCAAATATAAAACAGAATCAGAGACTTGCTCTCAATAAATACAGAAATCTGATCAAATGATGAATGTAAAAATTGAGACACAAGCTGAACTAGCTTTCCAAACATGAGTGCACACATTGATGGTTGGATAACAGTGATTTATGAAAAATGATCCCAGTTCATCAGATCATACCAAGATGGGTTCTGAACTTAAATCTAGAGTGATATTACTGGCAGTCCTTAAACATTAATGCTGCGAAATGGGTTTTGGAAAGGCTGCTTTCATTTGAACTAAAAACATGAACATTTGTGTAATCTTTGGGCTATTTATAAAATATTAGGCACGTCTTAGAGTCAAAGTTTTAATTCCCGTTATCCCCGTGTCTGAATGCTTCATTCATTTGAAAAATCTGTTGTAATTGTATT